AGCTACTGCAACTATATTATTATAAATATTCATACACGTGCTCATAATATAAGCATAACGATCATAATAAACACGAATATGAACTGACCACGCGGAACGAGAATGTAAATTAAAATCTTGATAGAAATTCAAATGTGTGTAGTATTTGGGTGGGAGGAAAAGAATACCAAATTTTCCCAGAATTTCTATGGTTTTCACAATTCTTTGACCAATAGAACGACATGCACCTGTCTGTACTCTTGCGAGCACCATAGGTTACGTTAATGCGGAGAAAGGGGGAAAAGCTATTTCCAGGAGTATGATTCACCATCTGACGTTCCATATAAGGAAGAAAAGTTGTTTATTTAGTTTCGGCTTTGGTACGGGGGGGGGGGAAATGCGCGTTCTTTAAAAAAAGCACTAAAAGCAAAAAATAAGCACTAAAAACAAAAAAATAAGGGCTTTAAAGAAAAAGTAAGCACCTATAAGGGCCTTTATACAAGGGTAAGTTGAAAAATAAGTTTCCCCTGTCGACTGTGATCAGAGTTGTGTATGAAAGTCAAAAAATAGAATGAGACATTAAAGATATGACATACCTTTATTTTTCCACATAGGTACCAAGTACATTGAGACATTTGTCATAACGCTTGATAAGTTTCAAAAAGCCCTCCAGGAAAAAAATCAAGGCTTTGCATATGGAAGAAGTGCTGAATGGCTTGTTTCACTTCAGTATTGCTTCCAAAGCACCTTCCCCCGAGATTTTTCTTCAAAGCCGGAAACAGATGGAAGTTGCTTGGTGCGAGATCAGGACTGTATGGCAGATGGTGTAGGCGCTCCCAACCAAGAGTTGCAATATGGTTTTGCGTTGCCGTCGCCGAATGTAGTCTGGCATTGTCATCCAACAGCAGAACGCCAGATGTGAGAAGGCCAGGCCGCTTTTTCCGAATCGCTTCTTTCAATTTCGACAGGGTGTCACAGTAGCGCGTAGCATTGATGGTTCCAACCTCCAAAAAGTCCAGCAACAAAACTCCTTGGGCGTCCCAGAAAACTGTGAGGAGCACTTTACCTGCAGAGGGAGTTGTCTTGAACTTCTTTCGGACAGGTGATGACGGATGTTTCCACTCCATAGATGCGGCCTTCGATTCTGGCGTGAAATGGTGGACCCACGTTTCATCCCCCGTCACAATCCGAAACAGAAAGTCATTGCCATCTTCATGGTAACACACGAAATGTTCCAGACTGACCCCCCATGCGTTGTTCCTTGTGTGTCGAGGTCAATTGTCGGGGCACCCATCGTGCTGACACTTTTCTGTATCGAAGAATGTCGTGGATGATGTTTTGAGCTCGCTCATGCGAGATTCCAAGTTCTTCCGCTACTTCATCAATGGTGATACGCCGGTTCACTCTAATCATGTCATCCACCTTCCTGACATTTGCATCTGTAGTGGCCGTGCGCGTCCGTCCAGCTCTCGGTATGTCCTCCACTTGCTGACGTCCATCGCTGAATGTGCGACACCATCTCCGCACCATTTGCTTCGACATCACACCTGACCCATAGACTTTCACGAGGCGGTTATGAATTTCTGTTCCTGATACTCCACGTGCCCATTCATAGCGGATAACCGCTCTCACTTCCTCCTTTGACCATGAATTCAAAACGCACCTTCTCTCCATACCTACTGGGGCTCAAATGAGAGGCTGGTCTCCGCTTTGCACAGGCACTGCAACAGCACCATCTGCTTGATTTGCAGCGACCTCTACTCAATGGTGTATCGGTGACTTGCGCGTTTTCCTGCTGTGTCGCCTTTCGCCCATAGCCGTTCAACGCTTCTTCCATATGCAAAGCGTGAATTTTTCTTGGAGGACTTTTTGAAGCTTATCAAGCGATATGACAAATGTCTCAACGTACTTGTACAAGAATAATAAAATAAAGGTATGTCATATCTTTAATGTCTCATTCTATTTTTTGACTTTCATACACAACTCTGACCACAGTCGACAGGAGAAACTTATTTTTCAACTTACCCTCGTATTTTATTTTCAAATATAAGGACTTATAAGCACTTGTAAGGACCACTACGAACCCTGATTACATTTTCTAGAGATGTTTAACATTATAAATATCTTTCTATTGTAGTTAACAACCCTAATTCCAGTTCATCTTTGGCTTCAGCCTTTAAGGAAATTATGTTTTAGTTCTCGTTTCATCAATAGAAGTGCAAGTAGCTGAACTTCTGTCAAGCCATTCTTATCTTATCACTATATCTTGTTCATTTGCGCTATGGCAGTTGAGGATTGCCTGTTCAGAAACTAGTCTTGTGAAAATTTGCAAATATAATGCTGATTTTTGTTGTTTGATTTCTAAATTAACAATTGTTCCACATGTTATTTCATCTTAATTAACTTAAACATAATACCGTATACTGTTTTAAATACTGAGTGAATACTGTTTAGCTCTAGGTCTAGTGATTATTTGAGCTTATTCAAGGAGAGGAAATTACTTCCAGCGAAGATAATGAAACCAACAATTGCATTCCTATTGGGAAAAGGCAGAAAATTTCAAATCAAAGTGAAAGGAAGTGAAATATAAGAAAATGACAAATGGATGAAAAACAATTTGGAAAAGAGAAATTACACTGCTTTACTGGCCGTGATTGTATCTGTAAGCAGGAATATTTCAGTACACTTACAAATCATGTAAAAGTATGACCATTTGATTCTTTTATTAAACTGTGTGGAAAGTGGGAACAAGATGTCTGTCTAGAAGGCCTCATTAATATCAATCAAATTCAGCAGAGAAGAGAGAAGATAATGCAGATGATGAAAAGACAACAGTTAAGATGAACCAGATCACATAACTTAGAATTTTTAACTCTGAAACTTTTTTTTTAGTTTTTTTTTTTTTTTTTTTTTTTTTTTTTTACTGAAAAATTTGGAGCTACCTCCATTTTACAGCAGGCCCTTCAACTGAAGATTCTTTCTTATTATAAAACCTGGCAATTTTCACATAGGACATTTTCCCTCTTTGCTTACATCATATCCATTTTTTTTATTTTCTCTCTAATGGACAAGACATATCACAGATTATCTTAAGCTTAGAAGCACAGTGGTAGCAGCACTATTTTTATTTTTTGAAATAAGAAAATTCTCACTGTGAAATCTGTAATAAAATGTTGCTAATAAGAATAGATTGCTAAAAGTACAGCAAATGAAAATTAAGGTAAGAGTGAGAGGATGGAAATCATATGCTTTGAACTCTGATGGCTGCATTCCCCTGTTGGCAATTTTATAGCCATAAGGAAGGAAGGGAAGATTAGTAAGAAAAGTGGGATTCTAAGAAGCGACCTGTAACGTGAACATCTGTTAAGAAAGTGTATGCATGTGTATATTGTCATGCTGTTTAATACTTATCCTGCTTCAGTGGCTGTGTTCCATATTTGGCTATAGGCTGTTTGAAGCAATCCAAAAACCCTCACAATTTTCTTTATCTTAGGTCTTTTAACCTTTCTGTGACCATCAACAAAGCAAAGTCCAAAAAGTTTGGTTTGGTTTATTTGATTATGGCAAAGCAGTTGAGAGCTATCTGCCTGAGGGAAGACCTGAGGGATGCCTTCATGGAGGACTTCTAAGGGAAACTGGCTCATATGCATGTTACACATGGGGAAAACAATAAAAATGCCAATGCAGTCAGCCTGTTTGCAGGATTCAAACTTCAGACCAAACTACTAGCAGTCAGCAACTTTACCGCTCAACCGCTGGTGGAACTGAACTCCAAAAGGAAGAATTAGTTTAATATGGCTGCTACCACTTTCTGGCAATTGCCTGCATGGGAACTTATTAATTTGCATAGCCTAACCCCCAACATCAAGGTTTAAAATGATATGTATTTGATTACATATTGATATGCATGCTTTATACTTAAGCAACATTTCAATTATTTTTTTTAACAGGGAAACAAAGCTATGCATTAAAAAAAATGTGCAAATTTTGTAAACACTTTACCAAAAAAAAAAAAAGAAAATACAAAGAGTTGCTTCTCTCAGCTCTAAACTTTGCAGTAAAAAAATATGCAATATGCAACAGACATGAGATTCATTGCAGGTTTCCAAACAGGAAACCTGCAATGACAGTGGCAATGTTGATAGACAGCAGTAACAAGCTTTTCAGTTTAATAAGCTTATCCAGATTTCAGTTTCATGATGGCAATAGTGAATGTTAAAGGCCTAATGTAACAGATCTTTTTGACATATTTAGAAATTTTTCCCTTTTAATTTTATTCAAACATGAAATTCAGCTTTTCCAAACTATCTTTAAAGCTATGATAATCTATCATAAGAAAAGTTTTATATTTGAAGAAAGATAATTAAATTAACTAATATAAAAATAACAAACGAAAACTTGAACATTCATAATGCAAGAATGTCATAAATTATGATACATGGAGAAATAACAACCATGTTATTTTATGTCTACCATATATTAATTTCAAATAGTTCTGAAACTGCTATAAAAATGTTAAGTAATAAAAGCAAAAATTTTAAACAATGAATTCTGTTAAATTTCAATACCTATGCAGCTGTAAAAATTGTTACAGAAATAATGCTAAATCAGGCATAATTTAAAATATAGTCTTTACATATTTAAGATACATGCACATTTCTGCAGGTTAACTTTCTGGAAGTTACAAAATTATAAAACACTTAAACGCATGTTTCAAAGTACATTAACGACATTTGCACATTTTACTTTATTAATTACACAATTTTGCATTTTATCAATATGAATTTATCTGAAGGAAAAATAAAGCAACAGTATAAAATAAGATGCAACTTACGCAACTTACCTGACTTGTTAAATTTTTCATTAAATTTAAAAATCAAATCCATGTTAATAACTGAAATTTCATAAGATTATAAACACATATTTAAAAGTTGAATTTTTAAGATTATGAGCAATACTTTACTTTTATAGTTTGAAATAAAAGACCAAATTAATTTAATTTATGTTTTAAATTTAAGTACCTCAACACCAGCTTTTGCAAAATCAGCAACATCAAAAAGATCAAATTCTTGCTTCAAAGTATTGTAAGATCTATTTCTTTTAATACCTGGAACTTGAAGCTGAGATGGCAAAGGCCCCATATTGACCTTTTTGTCAATGACTATGAAAGAAACAATTTGAAGAAAATTTTCACATATTTCATTATAGAACATAGCATAGAAATAAAACTGAAATAAGAAAAATAATTTGAAATACCTTAAAATAAGGAATAATAATACAAAGCTATCAATGCAGTTACTTAAGCAAAATTATTAAATAAAACCTACTAACAATGCTGCAAACCAATAGTTAATAAAACCAAATTAAACCGGAAGGACACAAAACAGTACTTTCTCATTATCCACACTCCTGATTTCAACATTCAGGAAAATTGCTGTGCTTTTAGCATATTTTGAATACATAACTGATAATAGCCAGTCCTTGCATGCATATACCACATATGTATTTGATTACATGTTGATTTGTATGCTTTATATTTAAGCAACATTTCAATTATTTTTTTTTTTTAATAGAGACAGTGTAAAAATGTAAATATCAGCCATATACACTCCTTATAAAATTTCTTTTTTTTAACAAAATGCTTCTTTTTGTTATTATTTATGAACAGAATAGGACCTATGAGTCATTTAGTTAGACAAAAATAATTTTACCTTAATTCCCAAAGTTGTCAATGAACTGAAAATACCCATAAAACTAAGGCTTTCAGTACAATTAAAGAAAACAAATACACTATTACATAATTCAAAATATTCTCCAGCTATCTAGTTCCTAACAAGATGGAACAAATGAAAAAAAATTCATACTATATCCAAATATCAGAAGGAGGGGAAACTTCTAATAACCCACATATCTAACAAATATTTTGAAAAATCTAACATATAAACTGGAATAAAGTATATTTTTTCAAAGCAACCCTTTTCTAATTAAGTACTAATATGGTAATTAGTATGCTTGGGATTTATAATTATTTTTCTATGTGGAATCTATCTCATATGTCCTCTTTAATACCATATACATACTGAAAGATTTGGTTTACTTTATTTAATTATGGTAAAGCACTCGAGGGTTATCTGCCAAAAGGACAGGAATTTCTAAGTGAAACTGACTCATATACACATAACACATAGGGAAAACAATGAAACCATCCATGCTGCCAGCCCGTTCACTAGGATTCAAACTCCAGCTTAGTGAAAAAAAAACATAACTGCATAACAGATTTATTTTTGATGTTCTTAATTTTTAACATGGTCATTTTTTAATACACCCTAAGTTCTTTTGTTTTAAATAAAAATTTGGAAATTCTCCTGATAAAAAAATCAATAAATAAAAAGGTGTGCAAATCTTATTTTAATAACAAATGCATTCTTTATCACTGATTTCAAATTACATATAGTCTTTAAAACTATTTCAACTGCTGTACAATTTTGCATTTGTTTGTTAGTTAGAGAAGCAGAAAATGAGATAAAATATACAGTGTCTATTTATTTCAAACTGATATGGATCCCAAAGGTGGTTCAAATAAATTACATGAAATGCTAATAAAACAAAATTTTAAGTTATATTAAAATTAATTTTGGCAAAATAAAAGCTATTAATAATTTGAATTAAGGTAATTTGCTGTTTAGACAAGTTAATCAAAACTTCAACCCTCTGAGTAACATGGCCTTCTTGGGTCTGCTCATGAAAACCTATATTTAAACAGCATTTATTAGCTAAATTTCCATAATTACTTATTTTAGCATGTTTTATAAACTCCCACTCATTAAGATGGTATTTACTTCATTAAAGCAAGTAAGAAAGAAAAATAATTTATGAGTTTAAAATGTACGGAATAACAAAAAATCTCATGACTGGATAAAGCCAGTCATGCCACCCAGGGGTGTTAATCTTCAAAAACAAAATATGAACCTTTAGTAACAAAAGTGAAATCTAAATACATTTTGCTTTCTTAATTCGAAAAATAGTTGAAGTTTATATGATGAAATCTGAAATTTGTATGAAATGGATACTATAAATATTCATTAAAAATTCTTCAGATTCCAACTGAATTATACATTTTTCAAGCACAATTACAGAATCAAATGTATAATTACTGAATATTAAAGACACACCCAAGATTATCGAAAAAGAAAAGAACAAGTATTACAATAAAAAGTATAAAGAAAAATAACTATGTTTGTATAACTTGTAAATAATGGTACTTGGCTCTACCACACAGTTTGGTGACCTTTCATAGAAGACAAAGAATGATGACTCATAATTGCACAAAAATTTAGTGATGTAGTTATCCCAAAAGTCTAGCCATACACCTATTTACAAGCAGAATTTTGTTTCTTCGTTGCAGTTAAAATTTCAAAGAAATTAAAAATAGATTAAAAGCTATTATTCTCTTTGCAGCAAAATGCTGTATTCCTAAAGAAATTTTGCAATAAATTCTGCCATTACAAGCAAATCTCACAAATTCATATCTTCAAAGAGAATTTTAAACAAAAGTTGTTATAATTTGATTTTAAAAGCCATTGGAACTTGAAATGCAATAAGAAAGCATATAAAAATAAAGCTGCAGCTTTTTTAAACTGAAGAACCATTACGTGTATGGTTGCTAGATTGGCATATTCTGAAAACTTGGCAATTTCTGTTAAGGTAATTGCAATAATATGCAAGTCTCATGACATTCCATTACATAAAAATAATTGTTACAAGGAGCATCATAGTATATGATGATAAAAATAAATTAGCTCAACTTTTACATAATTTAAATAATGCTAAAAATTTAACTTTCATTTTAAGCAAAATAAATACATAAATTTATTCAAATTCCTATTAACATAAAATAACACCATGAAACAATATTTACTATACACATTAAGTGTAGCTTCACAGCCTTTTCATTGTAGTCAGGTCATAACTTATATCATTTCTGCACTCATTTAGGACTTTAATCAGGCTCAATATATATTAAAAAGTTCATCTTTATGCAAGACTTAAAAGGTACACATCTCAAGAGACCAGACTGTTTATTTTCTGTTCTTTTTTTAATTCCTTTAGGGTTATTATATTCATAGGCAACATAGTAAGATATAAAGCATGCTTCCTAATCACTTCCATGATTCGCCACAATTTTAAGTCCTATAGCTTTATGATACAAATTGTCATTCAACAAACAAAACCAAAATAGAATTGCGTGCAAGCCATATCTGAACTAAGGTAGTTAGGTAGTGTTAATAAAAATTCTGAACAATTAAATCGCTTTCCCAGATATAAACCCCCCCAAAGTCCTGCTATGCTGCCTCAACGTGGCGGGGGGGTGTCACTGGGCGGAACGGGCGAAGTACGTCGGGAGCATAGCTCCTGGTAGGGCCACCCTAGGCGTGAAGGCCGTTCCAACATGCCCAGCTAAAGCATAGCAGGTGAAGAACCCTCAGGGGATTGCCGTCTTGGTGATCGGGTATCACACTCCCGGGGCCCCAGTGACCTTTCCTCCTCTCTTTCCTCTCCTCTTGTCTAGCTCTCTCTCCTATTTTTCTCCCTTGTGGTTTCCTCTACTGGAGGTTGGGGCTCACTGTGAGATGCAGCTACTACTCTTGGTTTCTGTCTCACCATGGTGAGAATACCGCCTATGCGTTTGCCGTGCATGGTGACCCGTAGGGTGGGAAAGGAGGATCCTGGCAGTTGAGGGGCGAGGTACTGTCCCCAACACACTGCTTTGGCCTCTGCTTCTACTTAAAACGGGAGGCACTTAGCTGTCCCCGCTAGTGTCAATCGGCTGGCCACTAGTCCTATTGGTCAGTAGCTAGGGGATAAGCTCTCGGAAGTCTCCGCTTTTGGAAAAGCCGACTGTGGGGCTTCAGTTTGCGTATAGGCCCGGCTAGCCCTAACACAGGGATCTGTGTTCCCTTGTTGGGCTCCATGGTGGGTGGGGCGGTCGGGCCCGAAACTTTCTCTCTTTTCAATATGAATACTTTAACTTCTTCTCCTAACCATATGGATACGAAAAATTCTGGAGCTGCTAAAAGAATTTGTACTTCGACCTTAATTAGCACAAGCAAATGTCCAAAGTTTTTAGTTATTACTGGTCAGCTAGAAAATTTATCACCATTCTTCATCCATAAGCATATTGTGGCCTCAGTAGGCGAGCCAAAACACATAAAAAAGCTCCGTTCAGGATCTCTGCTCATCGAGACTACATCTGATGCACAATCTTCCTCTCTCCTAAAAATGACCAAAATGGGGGAACATTCTATTACTGTATCCCCACATAAGTCTTTGAAAACGTCAAGAGGTGTCATTTCGGAAATAGACTTGATATCAGTCTCTGAGGATGAACTTTCAAAAGAACTCGCCGAGCAAAATGTATGTGGCATCCGCCGAATAAAAGTCCGTAGAGACGGGCAACTCGTCAACACAAAACATCTTATTCTGTCTTTCTCCTCTCCAGAGCTACCGAAAGCCATTGAGGCAGGTTACCTAAATTGCCCCATCAGACCTTACGTGCCGAACCCACTGCGCTGCTTCAAGTGTCAACGGTTTGGCCATGCGAAGGCCGCATGCCGGGGAAACCTGGCATGTGCTCGCTGTTCTGCAGGAGGTCACGAAAGTCAGGATTGTGTAGCTGATCCAAAAATGTGCAAACTGTCATGGCAATCATCCAGCATACTCACGAAACTGCCCTAAAGTGGAAAGAAGAGAAAGAAATACAGCATATTAAGACTATCCTCAAGAAAAATCTCCTATCCTGAAGCTAAGAAACTTTTTAGCACGGGTCAGTCAAAAGCAAATGTCTCCTATGCACAAGCCACTAAATCATATCGGTCAATAAGTACACAAACATCGCATAGCACACAGAAGATACCTGAACCAAAAACAAATGACAAAGAAAAAGTCTTTCTTCTACCTCCTCCCAAACAGACAATAGAAAGTCGAGAAATAAAAACACAAGAAACAGAGAGTTCAAAAAAGAAAATCAAAAGCTCAGAAAAGAGAAGCTCAAGCCGAAGCTCTATTGAAGGGACCTTTTCAGACTTTATCGAATCTGAGATGGAAACAGATGGAGGCGGAGATCTCTCGAAAAATGTTCTACCTCACAAAACAAAGAAACAG